CAATCCTCCAACAAAAATACCTTACCCGTAGGCATCCTAAGATAAATTGATCCTACAGCTAGAGCTGCAACTTTTGCACCATTCCCAACTTGAAGATTAATTTCTCCTTTCTTCAATCTTTTGTTAATCTGTAGTCCCTGCAACGTATTGCAAATGTTAAAATGACTACCGGTATCTAATACCCATATAGATGGATTAATAGAAGTTAAAGAAATCATGAAAACACTTTTCATTAAGGTCTTACCTTGTTTTTTTATCGTTCAGATATGCAAGATACTTCTTGCAGTTTCTCTTCCAATGTCCTTTCTTCTTGTAGAAGAAACATTCAGCATCAGATTGGTCAGCTTTTGTCTTACCTTTGGGTTTGGTCACACCACCCTTAGGTGCAGCAAACTTCTTGGGCTTCTTCTTACCCTTAACTTTCCTTTTAGAAGAGTTGCCAACCAACATGACAGTTTATTTCTTCTTCTCAGATGCAATTTAATTCTCATAATCAATCAACATATTGAGCATCTCATGAAGATCACAATCCATTTTATTCATGTTGAAATTAATAATAAATTGTGAAAAAGACTCAGGTAGTGACTGCAAGATCAAATCTTGAGAAAGTTCTTTGCCCAATGTGCACCCTAATTTTTGAAGTTCTTCAATAAGACCAATCACGTTCAAAACGTGGGGCCCAACTGGAGAGTTAGCAGTCAACTTGGATCCAAACAAAGACTTAGATAACTGGTATCTAGCTGTCCTACTTTGTACACCATACATCTTCTTAAGATGATCGATGATTGCACGGGGATCCATATCTTCTTGTTTCCTCTGGAATTCAGAACTCATAGAAGCAAGAATAATGCATTTGGTAGTAAGACAATCTGTCAAGTATTTTTAAAAATCCTTGACTGCCTCAGCATCATCCTCAGGTGGGGTGTCTCTGGTAGGCTTATCGATCATGTCAATAAGCTTGTCATGCATGAGAACAATTCTCATATTTGGGTACCAGTCATTAAAATTTGATTCAACCAATTTATTTGCGTCAAGTATGACACGCAGTGATATAACAGACATATTGAGAAATTTGAATTTAGAAAGAAAATGCATATATAGATACATTTACATATATCATAAGAAATAAACTTTTATTTAATGATATTTCCACTAAATAAATCAAA